GGGGAGACAGAAGCAACCTTGACCTTCTTGTTCGAACAACGAGGAATCCAGAAAGTAAACATCTCACCCACCCAGCAGAAGATACAAGGCCGGTACCACCACAGGTCACTGTTGTAAAGTCTAAGGAACCACTTGCCAGGCTGTATTGCAAGGATAATTATCTTGTAATAAGCCTAGGGGTAACTAAATAAAGTTCACTTGACAGAACATTGGTTGAGGGGCCGTGTCAATCTTTGGGGCTCTCTGGTAAAAGGAATCCTGAGGCAACCGTATTTAGGCACCTAACTCTGGTTTATATGCATAATTGTAGCCTATTTCAGTTAGATGCACCATATACATCAGGTCTGGAGGAAATAACCACCTGAAATCATCATGGTTCTACCACTGTTTTCATTATTAGCAATGACAAGTGCAGTCAACTACTTATTTCCATTTCTCAGTAGACCCTTAATGTATACCTTCAACACTCTGGGGGAAGACAGCCTCAAGTGGAAGACAAGTGCAGCATTTACACACTAACATGCGGCCAAAGAAGTTACTGCCAACTCAGGATTAACCACAAGTGAAGCTACATGCATAGATGAATAACAACACATCACCTGAATATTTTGGAGCTTTGACAAGTTACAGAGAATGACTGTAAGCCATGTGATTTCACTGACTACTGCAACCATCATTTCTGTGACGGATAAACGTGAAACACCTGCATTAGCTTACTGAAGCACTGTTTAGCAAGATGATTTGTAAAGCCACACTGAGCACTTTGTCTCACTGCATCTTTTATGAATGCTAGTTCAGAAATTAATTAGCAAAATCATGCAGCTGTGATAATCTTAACATCCATGTGATACCCAGGTGTACAGCATTTGCTAAGCTACAGAGAGGAAAGTATTACTGAACCAGAAGCTTGCACCTCCCTAGCAAGGGTCTCACTTTATAGGCTACAGCTTTCAGAAATTCCTGTGAAGACTGAAATGAACTGTGGTTTTTGGCTGATCATCCTTATTACTGATTACAGTCAAGCCAGTTTATTTAGACTGCAAAGAACTATGCTGACAATGCAGGTGGATTGCAATTACAAAAGCATCTGTTTACTGAAGTGCCAATCCAATGGACTATTGGATAGCAGTTACTATAAATAGGATTGTTGCTAGGACTTTAATCCTGACACACAGCTCTATCATTGTGAATGGCTGGGGAACCCATGCAGTTTTATAAGGCAGAGCCTTTACAGGGGCATGCACCTTGAAATTGTTGTCTGCTTTTATGTGCTGTCCAATTGTACTAAAAAACTTTTCCTTCATCAATTCATACTCCTATTTTGGAGGGGAAAAATGGAGTTAGAAAAGGCCAGAGCCTCATGCAACCACTAAGTGAATAACTGAGCAAGCAGCACATGCCCAGGGATTACATAAAATATTCTTAGCTATTCAGTCTCTGACTATGATATGTTTTAACCTGAAGAACCCAGGGAGACCAAAATAGAGGTGCTAAGAGCAGCCCAGCTGTGTGACGAGAGAAGGACCACAAGTCGATATAAAATGTAGAACACACAAGCAAAATGGTCTTGTAACATTTTGTGCATCCTAATGTTATAGTCACTCCATTTCTCTTGAAAGAAAAGCCGATCAACCTCAAAACAGCAAGCACGAAATGAGAAAGTTGCTTACCCTTCTTGGACCTGAACACCATTAGCAACTGCAACAAGAAAATGAACCCAGAAAGTTGCACCTGGAACTTTTGGCTGCAGTCTAGGTAAGGAGTGACAGCTGGTCTTGCTATGTCCCTAAAGTTTTGTGTTCACAGGAAGATGAAGTCACGTTTATCCCTGATACACCGAGTAAGACAAGCCCCCAATTATCACTGAAGAAGCAACTTCAGAAACAAGTCAGTATCAAGAGTTGGAACATCGAACTATTCCAGAGAATTAACAACTGAAAACCAGAAACACAACAGGAAGAAGCCAAGTACTGTACCTGCTGTGCTCCAAGATAGTGAGCCAGCACAGGAAGCAGACTGCCATCACTGATGCAGAGGCAAACACTATCTGTTTTCAGAACCTACAGAAAATAGGACATGTTGTCAGCATTCTTTTTGGTCCAGATGAAAAACTTCTCAAATAATTTTTTTCCACATCCAGTCATTTAAATATAGTTTAAAAAAAAAAAAAGACACTCATTCAGTGCAATTAGGACTGGGGGAAAAGGGATTGTTACAAAGAGGCAGTTGCAGAAATTCAGAATATTAGATTTTAATACAAAGGCGCTATATGCACTCCACAGTAATAATGAAGGTGGTATTACTGGTCATACAC